TGTGTGTGTGTGTGTGTGTGTGTGTGTGTGTGTGTGTGTGTGTGTGTATATATAGCAGCTCTTATCTGATGGCAGAGAATTAGAAATTGAGGGGACGTCTAACAATTGGGAAATGGCTTAACAAATTATGGTGTGTGATTATGATGGAATACTATTGTGCTATAAGAAATAATGAGCATGCTCTCAGAAATGATGAGCATGTTCTCAGAAAAACCTGGAAAAACTTATATGAACTGATGTAAAGTGAAATGTACTGGGTACAAAGTAACAGCAGTATTGTAAGATGATTAACTGTGAATGACTTAGCTATTCTCAGTAATATAGGGATCCAAGATAACTCTTAAGGACTTAGGATGAAAAATGCTATCCATCCCCAAAGAAAGAACTGATGGTGTCTGATATAGACTGAACCATATTTTTTTACTTTGTTTTTCTTGAGCATTTTTTTGGTCTATGTTTTCTTTCACAACATGACTAATATGGAAATGTTTTGGATGACTACACATGTGTAACCTACATCAAATTGCTTGCCTTCTCAATGGGGGGGTGGGAGAAAGGGAGAAAGGGAGAAAGTTTTTAAAACAAATATTAAAAAATATTTTACATGTATTTGGGGAAAAAATAAAATGCTAAATAAGTTTTTAAAAAATTTTAGATGCCATGCCATTTGGTGCATTTATATTTTGTGTTTATATTGATTTGTTGCATATGGTACCTTTCAGCAAAATATAATTTACCTTTTTATCTCTTTTAACTAAGTCAATTTTTGCAGTTCTTTTGACTGAGAACATAATTACTACTCCTGCCTTTTTTTTAACTTCAGCTCCAGCATAATAGACTCTGCTCTAGCCCCATATATATAATCATTCTGTTTCAAGTGTGTTTCTTGTAAATAATATATTGTTAGATTTTATTTTCTAAACCATTCTACTATCCTCTTTCATTTTATGAATGAGTTCATCCCAATCACATTCAGTTATGACAGTTAAATTGTGTTGCCTATCTCCACCCCCATCCTATTCTTTGATACTTTTCCTTTTCTTTTTTCCCCACACTCTCTTCAGGAGTTTGTTTTTCTTCTAACCCTCCTTTAGTTTACCCTCCCTCTTATTCTCCCCTTTCCCTACTGTTTCCTTGTTGGGTAAGATGCATTTTTGTACCCAGCTGTGTCATTTGACTATTCTTCGCTCCTCTATTTCAAAAGAGAATTAGATTGAAGCCTTGCCCATTTACACACACACACACACACACACACACACACACACACACACACACTCCTCCTTTTGACATAGACTTCTACTTGCACACCCCAATTATGTGAAATAATTTGCTCCATTCTTCCTCTCTCTTCCCTTTTCTCACCCAGAGTGTATTCTTCTTTCCATCCCTTTCCATTCTTCTTTTAAGATCATCAAAATAGCAGAATCACTCTCAGACCCTCTGTCTGATTAGTCTCCATCTATGATCCCTAAAGATGAGGTAATACATGTATCATCTCCTTATTTTAGTGTGTAAACAGCCTAACATTGTTTATTCCCTTATTATTGCTCACTCATTTTTTGCCCTTTTATTCTTCTCTTGACCTCTGTGTATGTATTTCAAAGTTTGTACTACCTCTGGCTTTTTTATCAAAAATACTTGGCAGTCCTCTCTTTCATTAAAAATCCATTTCTCCACCTGTTGGATTATACTAAGTCTTTTTTTTTAAGTAAGTTATTTTTGGCTGTAAGGCTATATTTTCTGCCTTCTGGAATACCATATTCCAAGCTCACCATTCTTTGATGTTGTGGCTGCTGAATTGTGTGTGACTGGTTGTGGCTCTTTAGAACTTTTTTTTTTTCTTTCTGTCTGCTTGCAGTATTTTTAACTTGACCTGAGAGCTCTGGGTTTTCACTGTAATATTCCTGGGAGTTTTCATTTGGGGCTTTATTTCCAGAGGGGAACAGTGGACAATGAACAGTGGAGGTGAACATTTTTACTTTGCCTTCTGCTCTTAAGAGATCTTAGTAGTTTTCTTTTACCATTTTTTGAAATGTGATATCTAGCTCTTTCTTTAGTCATGCATTCAGGTAGTCCAGTGATTTTAAAATTACCTATCCTCAATCTGATTTCCAGGTCCATTGTTTTTGCTACAAGATGTCTTATATTTTCTTCTATTTTTTCAGTCTTTTTGTCTTAATATTTTTCATTGTCTCATGGATTATAACTTTAACTTCTTTTTAATCAACTTTAATTTTCAGGGAGTTATTTTCTTGGGCAAGCTTTGCACTCTTATTCCAAGTTATTGATTCTCTTTCCAAATTTTTCTTCTATAGCTCTCATTTCTTTTCCCATTTTTTTCCTCTAGCATTTTCATATTGTTTTCATCAACATTTCTAGCTCTCTCTTTTTTAAAACTCTTGTTTTATCTCCTCCAACAAATTTGGTTGGACTTGTGCTCATTCTGTGATTTTTTTAAGACTTTACTTTTAAATGTTTTGAAGTCATTCTCTTTTGGGGGGTTCTTGTCTTCAATATCCCTGACACTATAATACCTTTTTATGGTAGGATTCTCTCTCTCTCTCTCTCTTTTTTGGTTTGTTCATTCTTTCAGCCTATTTCCTGATTTCAGTCCTTATATTAGGAGCAAGTATCTGCACACTACTGGGGACAATGTCTGAACTGAGCTTTTGTCTTCTTGGATCCTTCTGCTGCTTTTGGAAATTAATTGAAAATTGCTTTATTCTGGGATCTCAGGGGCACTTCAGTCTGGGGACTTATAAGCTTTCAGTGCTCCAAAAGTGGTGTGGTTCAGGTAAAGTCTGCTCCCTTCCCTCTTCATCTGAGCTCTGCAAACTCCTGCTGCTGGTTTTGGTCACTGTCAACAAGCTGGGGAAACTCTATGAACTCCAGCTGACAGAACCGCAGGTTCCTCTTTGGTCTGGGTCTCCTTCCCTAATTATTCCTCTACAGTCTTCAGCCTGGCCTGGAGACCAGGTCCTGGAATCAAAGCCATACAGCTATTTGTTTCTGAACTTATGCCTAGTTCAGTACACAGCCTCAGATTATCTACTTCTCACTCTGGAACACTACCCATAAGTAGAGAACTTTTCCTCAGTCCTCTCTGTACCTGTTATCCAGAACTCAGTAGTGAGTAAAAGAGCTGCCGATTGGCACCTGTTTTCACATCCTTCACAAGGTCTAGGTGCCCCTGGATCAGTCTGGAATCTCTTCTTGCCCTGGCACAAATCCTCCATCTTCTTTTTGTTTTCTGCAAGCTGGAATGTTCCACTGTCTGAGTGCTGGGTAAGAGCAGTGTGGAATTCCGGATTGAGTTAGAAATGATAATGGCTGGGCCAGCTAGGTGGAGCAGGGGATAGCGCACCTGCCCTGGAGTCAGGAGGACCTGAGTTCAAATCCAGCCACAAACACTTAACACTTACTAGCTGTGTAACCTTGGGCAAGTCACTTAAACCCAATTGCCTAGCCAAAAAAAAAAAAAAGAAAAGAAAAGAAAAGAAAGAAATGATCAAGTCTCACTAATCAGAAAACTAAGTCCTCATTAAAGCTGGTGAAGTGCTAAGTATGAAGTGGAGGAGTATGGCATGAAGATGGCACCATGGGGTCTAAACTGGGCTAAAAATGGTTCAGGCTCGCTAATCCAAAGTCCAGATCCCCAAGTGAGCAGGTGAAGAGATAGATAGGAAGTAAAACCTGGAATACAAAAACATAGTGTGAAAAAGGCCCAGGAGTATATGACTATATGTGTATGGATCTGGGTCTTCAGAGAATCTTTAATAGAAATATTTACTCAAATTTAGAATTTGTTGAAATAAACTGAATTGTGGGGCAGCTAGGTGGCGCAGTGGATAGAGTACCGGCCCTAAAGTCAGAAGGACCTGAGTTCAAATCCGGCCTCAGACCAAACACTTGACACTTACTAGCTGTGTGACCCTGGGCAAGTCACTTGACCCCAATTGCCTAAAAATAAAAAAACTTTAAAATTTAAAAAAAAAAAGAAATAAACTGAATTGAGTCTAGCCCTGAAGTTGTAAACCCTGAAATATAACCAATAAAACTACTACATCTGACTCTTGTTTCTAAGATAAGATATATGAGATTATTTCTACCAATAATGTTCCTTGTTGCCATTTTGGGTTTTCCAGAGATGCTCCAAGGGAAAAGGGTGATTGTCACTGGTGCCAGCACAGGCATTGGAGAACAAATAGCCTATCACCTGGCACGGATGGGAGCCCACTTGGTGGTGACAGCGCGGACTGAGGCAAAGCTGAAGAAAGTAAGAAGCATCAGAAAACTTCTACGCTCATAGACATACATTGTCATTCACCCCACACACACATATATTCACAAAATAACGTATACAATATATAATATATATGTGTTCTATGCTAAACCCTCAAACACATTAAATAGTGAATAATGTCCATGCACAATTATTTATTCAGAATTAATTTACCAACAAAAATATACATTTACAACCTCCTTACTTCCCGGATTGAATGATAAACTCTTAAAAGACAAGACTTTGTCCTAACTTTCCTCTGTAATTAACTCATTCTTCTAAAATGGCACTATTCACCCTGTGGTAAAATCCTAATAAAGATCTAAAGGAATTAATAATTAAAAAATCAATCAGTATGCATCTACTATGCACCTATTACATGCCAGGCATTGGGAATACAAAGTCAAAAAACAAAACAACCCCTGCCCTAAAGGAGCTTACATTCTAATGCTACATATATACAAAGTAAATACAAGTGATTTCAGAGGGTTGGTCCTAGGCACTAGTGATTAGAAAATCAGGGAGGTGGTACATGAGTTGGGCTTTGAAGGAAGTTAAAGATTCAAAGAGGCAGAATTTATGATGATTTGCCACTACAGGTCATCTCTGAATGTTTGAAACTAGGAGCAGCCTCAGCACACTTCATCCCTGGAACCATGGAGGACTTAGTTTTTGCAGAGCAAGTAGTCACTAAGGCAGAAAAGCTGATGGGTAAGGTTGAACCCTGCTCTTCTTCTTCTGGGGAACTCCCTGGGTCTATACAGGGGATGGTTAAGAAGTCAATAAAAGGCTCTAAACTTAAATGGTTTCTCTTGCCTGACCCTTACAGGGGGATTAGACATGCTCATCCTAAACCATATAGCACCTCTAAATTTGAGGTTTTTTAATGGTGATGTTGCCAGCTTTCAAAAATCAATGGATGTCAACTTCTTTAGTTATGTAACCATGACATCAGCTGCCCTACCCATGCTGAAAGACACCAATGGAAGCATCGTGGTGGTTTCCTCAATAGCAGGTAAGTGAGGAATGATAGAGAGGAGAGTGAAAGATAGGAAAGGAGCCTAGTTGATCTGATTTTGCTAGGAATTACCTCCCTAAACCCAGCATCATAGAATCTGTGGGGAGAGGGAAAATGTTGATTCATTTATGTTTATATTTAACCAGAATTGATTAACAAAGAGGCAATACGACATGCCTGATGGAGGTACCAGTATATGGCCTGGTGAGTGAACTCTGTAGGGGGAATGGATGAAGAGAAAGAGGGAGCTATTGAGGGAAAGTATTTAATCAAAATTTTTGATTAGGTGAAAGCTGATGATCTGTTGGGAATAGCCATAAAGAAAGATTGGAAAGGAGAACAAATGGGGAGTAACTCAGAGCTGATCAGAGGCCAAGTGCCCAGGAAACAGCGAGACTAGTCCAGGAAGATATCACTGAGTGACAGATTGGACATCTCAGTCCTTTTTGGATATATGAGGACCATTTGAAGATTATTCTTCTCTGGCAATAATTTTAATTATTGCTTAGAAATACTAGAAAGGCATATGATGTTGCTGCCTTGAATAACCAGGATTGTGGAGAGGGAAAAGCTTCAGCTGGACTTGGGTATCCCAAACAGAAAAGAAGGGGAAAAACCCCATTAGGCAGTGAAGGAAGGAGTAGCTAGAAGTGTCTGATCGCAGTATGTGTGGTGCTGAGTCCAGCAAACTGAATGTCCACAAGTCAACAAACATTAAGCACCTGCTGGGTGCCAGGCCTTGTGCTAAACAGTGGGGATACAAAAAAAGGGAGGGAAAAAAAAACAGCCAGCCTCTGTTCTCAAGGAGCTCACAGTCTAGTATGGAAGATTTTACACACATATGTATGTATGTGTGTATGTATGTATATGTTCACATACATATACATATACAAATATATACAAACATAACTGGAGATATCAACAGAAAGAAGGCTTTAAAGGAGATTGGGGGAAAAAAGTTATCATTATTTAGCATTCAATTCAGTTAATCAGTAAACATTTATTAAGCACTTACTGTGTGCCTGGCACTATGCTAAGTGCTAGAGATACAAAAGGAGTTAAAAAACAGTTCCTGCCTTCAAGGAGCTCACAATCTAATTAGTTAGATAATAAGCAAATAAATATGTACAAACAAGCTCTATACAAGATAAAAAGGAAATAATTTAAAGAGAAAAGATATTAGAATTAAGAAGGATTGGGAAAGGCCTCCTGTAAAAAAAAATAATAATATGTTTAGTTGGAACTTAAAGGAAGTAAGGGAAGTCAAGAATTCAATAAAAATTTATTAAGAATGTACTAGGGGATTCAAGGGCAATAAAGGAACAGCCTTCATCAGTAGATATAGGTGGATAGATAGATAGGTAGATAGATAGATAGATAGATAGATAGATAGATAGATAGATAGATAGATAGGTAGATTCCCCCCTCACTACTCACTCCAGAATTAGTTCCCACTCCCTTAGAAATTACTTCTTATTATAAACAAACTCTAGGGTTGAGGAATGGGGGAAAATCAGGAAAAACCTCTTGGAGGAGGAGTTGGAATTGGAGCTGAGATTTAAGACTGAATAAAGATTCCAAAAGGCAAAGGAGAGAAGATAGAGCATTCCTGATGTGGGGAGTAAGAGCTTATGCCACGGCATGGAGGCTGGAAATGGAAGATCATCTGCGGAAAACTTAGAGGTCATGAGAAAAAGTAGTGTGAAATCATAATAATGCCTCACATTCATGATTTATATACAAATTTACTCTTCACTAAAGTCTTTCCCAGACACTATTTCATTCAATCTTCAAAAGATACCTTCAGGAAGTTATTATTTTACAGAAAAGACAAAAGAATTAGTAACTTGTCTAAGATTATATGTAGCTAATTAAGTGGTATGAATAGAACTCAAACTCAACTTTTCAGAATTTCTTTTCTATTTTTATTAATATCTTTTTTATTTATGCTCAATTTTTTTTCTCTGGCAGTAATTTCTTCTTCCAGACTGAAAACTTCACACTGAGCAATGGTGGGTGGCATAAAAGGGAACTGGTCTTGGAGTAAGAAAGACCTAGGTTCGGGTTCCCATACTGACATACCGTGGCTGGGGAAACTTAAGCAAGTCATTTAATCTCACTCTTTAAGAATATAAATTGCTGAATAGATACTGATTGACATTGGTAGAGAAAATTTCTTCAATGGAAGTTCCCTACACCAACAAAATCAGCATTTGAAACCAAAAATAAATACTTAGCTGCTCTCTTGGGTACTTTTAAAGTTTCAAGTTTGTCATGGCAAAAATGTGTGTGTGTGTGTGTGTGTGTGTGTGTGTCTGTGTACATGCACTTTCTCTTTTCTACTGATTTAAAAAAAATTGTTATATATCCGGAGGGACTAGAAAGAAGAGATGATGGTATTTTCCCGGCAGAAATGGGGGCTGATGGTAGCAGAGGCAAGATGGTGGAGTGGTAGGAACTGGTAAGGCCAAGATCCTCTTCACAAGTATCCTTTATACCAGGGCTTCTTAAACTTTTTCCACTCGTGACCACTTTTCACCTGAGAAATTTTTGCAAGACCCCAGGCATATAGGTATATGAAATAGGTATACAAATCAAACATATACTGATAATAAATCACAAAGAAATTTACTTTAAAACAATTCTTTGGTATACATATAACTTTACCATTTATTAAAGAAAAAAGCAAATTTGCATACTAATGAGATGAATGTGCTTGTTTATTTTTACACAAAGAATTAAATTTTGGTAGAATATTTGATACTGCAGGACATAGAGTATCTTCAACGTTTTTCAGTAGATAGACATTTTGATTTTATAATCGTTAATGCTGAGAACTCCACTTTGCAATAAATACATAGTACAAAATGGCAGAAGTATGTTTTGGGCCATTTCAGAAATTGTTGGAAATTCCGCCCTTATCTCTAAAATGAGAAGGAAATGGCAAACCACTACAGTATATTTGCCAAGAAAACCCCAAATGGTATCATAAAGAGTCAAACATGACTGAAACAACTCAACAACAACAAAGATTCAGGGAGGGCTTAGTCCCAAGCAAAACAAAATCTAAGGATGCACAAAAGTATTTATAGCTCTTTGAAGCGGCAAAGAATGGGGATCTGAGAAGGTGCCCATAAATTAGGGAATAGATGAGCAAGGTATGGCATATAAATGCTATGGAAAGCGGCAGCTAGGTGGCGCAGTGGATAGAGTTCCAGCCTTGGAGTCAGGAGGACCTGAGTTCAACTCTGGTTTCAGAACACATAACACTCAGTAGCTGTGTGACCCTGGGCAAGTCACTTAACCCCCATTGCCTCAAAATAAATAAATAAATAAATTCTGTGGAAAATTATTGTGCTGGTCTTTTATCAGCATAATGACCAACCACAATTCCAGAGGATTAATAATTTAATATGCTATCCATATCATGATACATAGATGAAGCACTCAGTACAGAATGAGACAATTTTTTTGGACCCAGGCAATGTGGATATTGACTGACTATACATGTTTGTAATGGGTTTTTTTTTCTTGTGTTCTCCCTTTGGGACAGGGTGGGAAAGGTGGGAAGACAGATTTTAGATGATTAAAACAAATTTTTTTTTAGAAAAAGAAATGGGGGTGGCTAGAAACAAACAAAATCAATCCTACACATTTCTCATTCCTCAACTCCACATCTCATTCTCTCCAACTACATGGCCATGTTCTCTGATTAGGCAAGTTGAATCATTCACCCAACAGAAATTGGAAAACAAATTTCTTCTCTCTTTGGTGATTGTATGCACCTGTTTCACAGCTTCTTAATTTCTTAGTAATAAACATTTTCACTTTTCAGATCTGGAAACTGAGTAGAATAAAACAAAAAAACATATATATATATAAAAGGAAGAATTACAGAGTGTTGTCTGTCTTATAATAGGTGCTTAATAAATTCTAGTTGACTGGCTGACTGAACTAGTCTGGATGCTAAACAAAGCTCATTTAAACCAGGGGTGGGGAACTTGCGACCTGAAAGCCACATGTGGCACTCTAGGTTCTCAAAGGTGGCCCTTTGACTAAATTCAAACTTCACAGAACAAATTTATTTTGTTTCAGTCAATTCAAAGGGCCAAATTCAAGGGATTCAGTCAAAGGGCTACACTTGAGGAGCTAGAGGGTCACATGTGACCTTGAGGCTGCAGGTTTCCCACCCCTGAACTTTGATTTGACCCTGCTTCCAGGTCTGGCTGAATCTTCAACCCACTCTAAAACCTATTTCTGTATGTGAAAGGATTAAACTGGTTCTGCTTGCCTAGAGATGGCAAAACTAAAAGTAATGGATGGGTATTACATAGAGGTTGGATTTTTAAGGGGAAACTGCAGAATGACCAGAGCTATTCAAAAGTAGGATGGACTGGGGGAATACAACAGGCTCCAGGGCTCTTCAAGCAGAGGGGAGGAGGACAGGTTAGTGATATTATTGAGGGAATTATTGGTCATAAATTACCTAGGCTAGATGGCCTCTGATGGCCCTTCCAACTCTGAGATTCTGGAATTAAGCTTTCCCCAAATAACACAACTGGGTGAGAAGACAGAAGAAATCAGCTTTTTCAGTGGTAAGAGGTATAGTCCTCAGTCGTCAATTTCTGCTTGTTGTCTAGGGAAAATAATTGCACCACTTATTGCTGAGTACTCAGCAACCAAGTTTGCTCTAGATGGATTCTATTCTTCACTGCAAAAAGAATTACAATTATTGAATGTCAACGTATCCATCACACTCTGCATCCTTGGCTTCATAAACACAGGTGAGACCAGCACTGGGTGGTAAAATAGACAATAGGGAAACACCAGAAACATTACAGCTTCTGGTATTGACCTTATGTTATGCAGTATACACCTCTGATTTTGGTAACCCAACTTTTCATGTCTCTCCCTCTTCAGATTCAGCTGTAAAATCTCTTTCTGGGATTGTGGAAAATGTAAATCCATCTCCAAAGGAGGAATGTGCATTGAAGATCATCAAAGGCGGAGCTTTGCGTCACAAAGAAATAGCTTACCCATCCTCTATCTATGTCTCAATGTGGAATCCAATTCGAACAATACAGGAATATTTTATATCATCAAATTATAACATAGACAACATAACAAGAAATCAACAGTTCCATTAGTACTGGGAGCTTGGATAGGCACTTAACCAGGACTGTGTAAGACAGTTTCATTGTTCTTCATAGAAGCAAAATCTCCAACAATACAGAAAAATAAATTCTAGACCTTTCTCAATGCCTTAGAGACATGAGACTACAGGCATTGTCCATGGTTAAACATCTAATGATGTGGCAGAAACAATGTGGCATAGCAGACAGAGAGATAGCTTCAGAGGCAGGAAGCCCTCAGGTCAAATCCTAATGGATACTGACTGTGTGACTCTTGGTAAATCACTTACATTTTTCAGTACCCCTGGCACCTCTCCAAGACTAAAAATTTCATAACAGCTAGTGAAGGGAGTACCTCATATGGGACTTCTCCACACTGATGAAATCACAAATCAAGAACAAAAAAAAAATCCTAACCTAATAATCTCTCACAAAACAGAATTTTTGAGGTTACCAAGCTCCCTTTTTCTTCAGATTTCATCATAGTTTAAGCTAAAAATTCGGAAGTAAATCATCATCACGGAAGGAGAAGGAGAGGGAATAAACAAAGATTTTGTCAATAAAAAAAAATTTCCAAAAGCTATGTTTCTTTTTTGTACGCTGGAGCCCCTTCAAATGTAAGCCCCTAAAAGCTCCATGGTACTAGGCATAAGCATTTGGGTCAGCATTTATTCAAAACCACTGATGTTTCTCTTTTATCAGAAAAAAACACTAATTCATCGCAAAGGGCACTTAAACAGCATCACCAAATGAATAATAAAGAAAATCTCCCCAAATTCATTGAGGCACACTCAACTGCAGATTCCCACACCAGCAACTGAAGAGGAGATAATGCACAGAGAGCACACATGGTGAAGGAACATACTATTATGGTTTCATCCCATCTGAAACTCCCTTTTGCCTCCAGAGTTGCTACTTGCTTCATATACTCAGCTGCTAATGTCATCTGCTCCTCTGGATATAATCTGCTGGGCTTATTTGTGGTTTGTCCTTTGTTCCCGAAGAGGACCATGACATCAGGGAGATGATGCCATGACTTGCAATTGACTTTGATTTGAGTGAGAGAGGGCTGCGCAAAGTCACCAGCCTCACTTTCTCCTCCAGAGCCATCTGGGTCCAGTGCCCAGATACCAATAAGGATGACTGGAGATGGCCCAGTATGCAGTGGGAGACCGTGGCCCTCTTAAGCTAAGGTTTTTTCCAGGTTCTCACTTTGAGTGAGTCAATGACCATCCAGTGAATAGGCCTCTTTTAAGAAGTGAGTCAAGGGATGGCCCCTTCAATAAAAAAAAAAAAAATCTAACAGGGAGGGGAAGACCCTCACGGTTGCTGGTCAAAATAGAAACAGTTACTACTTACATCCACTTTAGGCCAGGAGGGCCTAAAAAATAACCATGAAGTGTTACTTCAGCAGAGACCTATTGTTGTCCAATCCAGGAGATCCAGATGTCATGTCCGTTTCAAGAATGAAGGTCAAACCACATTCTGCTAGGCTACTTTATCTACCAAGCAGTAAATTGCTGTTTGTCTGTTTGTTTTTCAATTGAGCTGCAAGGTACATGAGTCATTTGTTGGTCTATTTTCTCGGTTTTACTAACATCTGTTGGCTCCCTGATGAGCTTTTGAGTTGTGATGTTGATTTTCCAATGAGCTGCTGCCATCTTCTGATTATCTGTTGAATTGCAGCTACTATGTATTTCCCCCTTTTCTGTTGGAGAGCAGTCACAATTCTTTTTGTGCCCCTGTCCCATACAGAAGGGGAAGGGAACAAGCATTTATACAGCACTTTCTATGTGCCAGGCACTGTGCTCAATGTTTTATAAATATTATTTCTTTGATCCTCACAACAATCCTGGGAAGTAGGTGTTATTATTATCTTCATTTTGCAGTTGAGGAAACTGAGAGGTTAAGTGACTTGACTAAGGTCAAACAGCTGAGGCAGTATTTGAACTCAGGTTTTTGCAACTCCAGGCCCAGAACTCTATCCACTGCCCCAACTAGCTGTCTTTAGCCCAAGGCTATCACAATCCTTTTGTAAGTCAGACTCACAACCATATCCAGCCAGCCTGCCACAATTCTTTGTCAAATCTATCTTCTGACTCCTTTGCTTCTGTCTCAGCAAAATCTCTCCTAGACCAGTGTATTGGATTGAACTGAGAAAACTCCTTTCAGTTATCATCATGCCACTAACCACTAGAACTGAGCCACACAAATTACTTTGGAGTTTCACTTATCAAGATTTACAGGATAGGGATGAGCTAGAAATCTTTGCCCTGCATTCCTACCAGTATAAAATGTGCTATTTTTCCTATACTATCCACCCCCTTTCCTAGTAAGAAAGGCAGTAAACCCTACAAATAAAACTAGGTACTAAAGTGTATTTGTTAACAGATTGAAGAAAAGTTTATGGATGCACTTCATAAATATTCATAAACTGGCATACAAAATAGTCAAAGACAATTTTATGAATACACAGAATTCAAATATCAATCTCAAACTACATATAGACATAGATTTATATATGATTTATATGTAGACATATCCACTTTGGAATTGCTTAGCAAAAAAGACTATATAGTATATAAAGTCATAATACACATAGCAAATGTTCCGTGGATCAATTGTATAGATTATATGTAATCATTCAATCAACAAACACTTATTAAGTACCTTTTATGTGCTAGTCACTATGCTGGGTGCTAGAGACACAAAGAAAAAAATGAAACCTTACCTGCTCTCAAGGAGTTTATGTACTACTGGGCATATGACAATGTATACATAAATAAGTGTATACAAATCATCTTATGTTTGCTCATTTCAGCCCAATACCTCCACCCTAGCATTCAGTTCCCACCTATGGGCCCTAGCATTGCTATATCTAGCCCAGATTCAGGTTGTTTCATTAGGCTGTTTCTCAAGTCATCTTCATGCCATGCTACCAAGTGCAAAGACCCTGCTCTCCACTTTCCATTTCTAGCTCTGAAGAGCTAGAAACAACAAACATCAAAACATCAGTGCCATTCCTGGAAAAGACAAGTCAACCAATTGCCATTGTAGGCATCGTTTACCATCCCTGTGACTTCCCAAACCAAAACACAACCTCCTGGCCAACACTCTTCTATATGTGTTGCCTTCCCCTGTTTGAATAAATATCTTTGAGGACTGGGACTATCTCTTTTACGTTTTTATCACCAGCACTTATCATAGAGCCTGGCACACAGTCAATGCTTAATAAGTACTTTTTGCATTCATTCATTCAAAATAAATACAAGATAATTTGGAGGAGAGAGATATTAGCAGCTGGGGAGATCACAAAAGGTCGAGGGTAGAAAAAAGAATTTAAACTGAGACTTAAATAATACTGAAGATTCTAAGAAGCAGAGAAGAAGAGAGTGTATTCCAGGCATGGGGGACAGCATGTGGATAAATGAATGAATGAATGAGCATTTATTAAGTGCTTACTGTATGTCAAGCACTGTGCTAAGTGCTGGTGACAAAATTGAAAAGCAATTCAAAAAGTGGTTATCTTACTTGGGAAACATAATACCTCTAAAAATGGAAGGGGAAAAGGAAGAAAAGACAGGGAAAAGACATTTATATAAAGCCTACTATGTGCCTGGTATTGTCCTAAGACCTTTATAAATATTATTTCAAATTGTTCCTCATAACAACCCTGGGAGGTTATTATTATTCCCATTTTACAGTTGAGGAAACTGAGGCAAATAGCAATTAAATGACTTGTTCAGGGTCACACAGCTCCTAAGTGTCTGAGGCTGGGTTTGAATTCAGGTCTTCCTGACCCCAGTCACAGAGCTCTGTCCAATTAACCACCTAGTTGCCTCGATATATATAAGAGAATTTATGTCCAGGATGGATGGAAAGACCTGAAAGTCCTACATCAGTCCTACAAAAGTGTACATCAGAAGGGCAGATGTCAATCCCCAAGGGTCTTTAGGATCGTAAAATCATAGATTTTGAGCTGGAAGGGACATGAGAGACCATATAATCAAATCTTTTCATTTTACAGATGAGGAAACTGAGACCCATAGAATTGATATGAAAAGGTTACACAACTAGTAAATTGCAGCATCAGGATCTGAGCCTAGGTCTTCTGGATCCAAATCTAGCAGAGATTCCACTGTACCACATTACCTCTAGGATGCATCTGTAGATCAGATAACAGGGTCCAGAGGCCTGGGGGATACAGCAACAAGGCAAATGATAAGGCCTTGAGGTCTGTAGTTGCTGATTTCCTGCTCTTCCAAACAGTGTGAGCAGCAATATCCCTTCTTCAAGACAGTGGGGCCTGGATGGGATCCTCCCACCACCATTGGCAAAGGAAAAGGGGGCCTAAGGGTCTTTGGAGGACTTTGTTATGGATTACCTTCTCTCCACCCTCCTCACTTGGCAACCTCATCATCTCCAATGGGGTTAATTATCATCTACGTGTAGATCACCCCCACATCTGTATACCCAGTCCCAATGTCCTCCTGAGCTCCAATGCCATATCACTGACTATTAGGCATTTTGAAGTATGTGACTTTCTCTGTGAGTGAAAAGGGAATCTCTTATTGATGCCAATCAGCTCTTTGTCTAAAAACACATAAATGCAAAAACTATCATGTGTTTCCACTTCCCGAGCAACTATTTTTCGCTGCTTTCTGAGGGGGATGGGGGATGCACCCAGAGGGTGTTCCTTGTTGGCATCTCTTCATCTGTTCCCCTTGTGTGTATAATATTTTGTGAATTGCTGTTCCCATTTGTCTTTGCTACTCTTCGTTGGAACTTTCCTGCACTGCACACACACACACACACACACACACACACAGTATCCCAAAAGTCTGTATGAAGACTTTTAGGACACCACTAAACTGCCAAAGAAGTCTGTGACCAAAAAAAAGGATAATACCTGATATACATAAAAATGGGAAAAGGCCCACACATACAAAAATATTTCCAGCAGCTCTTTTTGTGGTAGCAAAGAACTGGAAATTGAGAGGATGCCCATCAACTGGGAAATGGCTGAACAAGTTGTGGTACATGAATGTAATGGAATACTATTGTGCTATTAAGAAATGATGAACAGGCTGACTTCAGAAAAACCTGGAAAGACTTGTATGGTCTGATGCTGAGTAAAATGAGCAGAACCAGGAGAATGTTGTACACAGTAACAGCTACGTTGTGTGATGACTAAACTTGATAGACTTAGCCCTTCTTAGCAATGAAAGGACATCTCCAAAAGTCTCATGATGGAAAATGCTATCTACATCCAGAGAAATAACTATGGAGTTGGAATGCAAGTCAAAGCATACTATTTGCTCTTTTTTTTCTGTTTTGTTTTGTTTCTCTTTTCTTGTGGCTCCTCCTATTGGTTCTAATTCTTCTTTACATGACTAATGTGAAAATATGTTTAATAGGAATGTATATGTAAAGCCTATATCAGATTGCAT